ACGAAAATATATATATATATATATATATATATATATATATATGATGTAAATTAATTGTGTGTATGTAATTAATCCTAAAAATTTTATTATACAATAGGACATTTTTTACTGATGTATTTTATATTGTACCCTTAAAAAATCATTATGCATATGATACATATCAAACAATATTTTATGTATTATCATGTTACAATAGCATCTCATATAACTCATCAATTGTTCTCGCGTTGTAAAAGTCATCAACTATTTTTCGTCATATACTTCATAAATCCAAATACATTAACTGGATGTTCAAATTTAGTAGCATAAAAATTATATAAGAAGAATCCAAGGAATTAACAAAGAAAGGTCACCAATGCATAATGATGCCCTGATGACACGTGTTCCGTGCCCAGTGTAGGTATTCCACAAAACCATGTTGCTCTCTATTTGAACCACGTTCAACGTGGCTCAATTCATGCATGACTGGTAGAAGCATTACAGGGAATTCCTTGGAGCGTTTGTGTCCAACGAGGATCATCTCACATCTGGCGTGAGCAATCTCAAGAACAATCTTTGTTATTAGCCTAAATGATGCTTGACAAGCCCGTGGTGGCACTAAACATCATATTAAGATTCACACAACCTACAAAAATCACTAATTATGAACTATGCATAACAATTACCCAAATTTATGATTCAACTGGTAACAACATTTTAGAATAGACACTAATAAACAAGATGCAAATTACATACTAAACACATTCAATTAATATCCTCATACAATTACCGATTTATTCCCTATGGGTTATCACAGGAACCCACAAGACAATTCAAGATTCACAATTTCAAACCCAAACACAAAATTATAGGCATTAGCATTTACATAACAATTAGAACACAAAAGAGCAACAAAGAAGATAAAGACACATTTTTTGGAAAACCCTTCACATACAAATAAACAGTAGAGACAAAATTGGGGTCAAACTCACTATCCAGCATATATCTCATGTCCATAACAAGACTACTCACTCCCCATTTACCTTGATAAGAACTAGAAGACAGACGTGGATCTTTGGGATGTCCTCTTACGAGCTCCAATTTTAAAGCTCACAAGCATAAAGGAGAACAAAAGAGCGTAAAATTAAAACTGAAGAAAAAAAAAATTCTTTTTTTCAAAACTTAACCTCATCTTAACCCATCAATTAAAACAATTAACTCTAGTTACAAAACTCTTCTCTCACTTAATAAAATAAGAAAATATTTAAAAATAAAACTTTATAATATATTCATGTAAGTATAAAAATAATTAAAATAATTATCAAAACCAACCCAAATATTTATAATAAAATATAGGCTTAATTGTGTTTTTGATCCCTCAAGTATTGTAATTGTGCAATTTTGACCCCTAAAGTTTTAATTGAGTAACTTTAGTCCTTAAAAGATTACAGTTGTGCAATGGTTGGTTATTGATGTGACGGCCTAGGGTGGGTTGTTACAGAACCAACATCATTCAATTATCAACAGTTCGATCATCATTAATTATCCCAGATTAATGTATAAAGAGCTAACAACATATATCAACATGCATGTAATAGATTAAACTAACCTACACATGTTCACCACCTTCTCAGCCAAACAACATATTTTTACAAGGAACTTCATGCCCAATCCCATTCACCTTGTGCCTGATGTCACTAAGACATGAAGCCCTCTGTCTTGTCCACACCTAGCACCACTCAACCTACACCTGACATGAAAGAGATTAAAGAATCCCTAGGACATTCACGCCTAGTGTGGCTAAACCCACATTTAATCCCATTTTAGGAAAAAGGTGATTCTCTCTCCTCACGCTCGACATTACTCCATAGGTATCGAAGTCACTTAGGAAAAGGGTTATGTCTTGGTTATGTTGAGTGTCACACAACTCGAGGTCTGATGTCACCAAGTTAGAGATAATTCTCTGACCTCACGCTCAATACCATTAAACTCACGTTCGATGAGACTAAGTGAAAGACTTTCTCTCTCCTCACGCTTGGCACCACCAATCCTACGTTTGGTGCGAGTGAGACAAAAGACCCCTGATTTGAGTTATGCCTAATGTCATGAAAATGCCCTTAATAGGATGGTGAAATCTACATTCAGTTAATTTAATAATTGGCTCAAATTCACTTTCAACTTAGACAAACCAAACATGCAATGCAAGATATCATTCATATACATCATTAACAACTTGAATCAACTTAGAATAACAACACGCAACAGATGTTTGATCCTCTCTCACTCAAAATCTCCCTACATATTCAAAACTTCACAACATAAGAGAATCCATCATTTGATCGTCAATACAATCACGTTTTGAGTAGTTTAAATAACATTTCAATCATTAATAAAAGAATCAGTTATAGCTTCCTTTACTTAGAAATAGAAAAGAATCGAGGAAGGAGGAAGGAGGAAGAAGAGATATAAGCTTCGAACAACTCTAAAGTTATACACCAACATTATTTTTGAGTTGCAACAACTTTGAATCACCCACTAGATGCTCATTTGAGATCTTATACAACTCCTAAAGGTTAGAAAGAAAAAAAAGAGTTTCAAAACTCTAGAGCTCCTCTGTCTAGTTTATCTTTATAAGATTCTTAAGAACAAACTTATGAATTTCAATTTAAAAAAAAATTAATTAGAGTTAAAAGAAATGAAAATATAAAAAGAAATTTAACATTGAGTAACTTTAAAAATCAAATTATTACTTATAAAATAGATAAAGTCTTAAGCAAAAGTTTATAACCTAGTTTGTTTAAAGTCTGATCTAACCTAATCTACTTAATAAAAAAGCATGGCTTAAACTTTTAAAAAAATTTATTAATTAAAACATGAGTTTATACTTATAAAAAAACCCACAAGGTTCGATAGGCTACTATATTTATCTATGATATAATTAAAATAATATATATGACATTATTATCAATATAATTAAATAAAATAAATTTATAATTAAAAAAAATAAATTATCAATATTTTTTACATTTTCACTACACTTAAACATTTTGTATTTCTTGTTTGTATGAAATAAAAATATCAAAAGTAAAAATCTCTAATAGCCTTATTTTTGCCTTATTTTTGTCATTTTCATTATTGGTTATTTAGAATACTTCAAATGTGATATAAGAAATATTTATAAATTTTTTTAATAAGATTATTTTATTTATTACGGTCAGTGTGTGAGTGTATATTAATGTTTGCACAAATTTTCTCTCAATTATTTTTTTTAATTTTAAATTCTAAATTTTAATAATAAAGAGTAAACTATTTTTTTTATCATGTAAATTAAAAAGATTTATCATGTAAATTAAATAAATACTCACATGTATATTTAAAAATATAATTATTAACTTATTTAAAATTAAATATATTGTTCTTTTTAACATTGTTAATGCAAGATAAGCTTTTAAATAAATTAATAAATTAATAAATTAATAAATTATAAAATAAACTTTTAAATAGGTTAATAGATTAATCCAGACTTTTAAAAAGGTCAGATGAAACCTATAAAAAATCTATAATAAATAATAAATTAAACTTAAATTTTAATTTTATAAAATATGTTTAATCTATATATTTAAAGTCTGATTTATTTTTAATTTTAATTAAGATTAAAGAAAAATTTAATTTATTGCTTATAATTTGAATCATAGATAATAATATTTTAAATTTCATATTTTTAAAAATAAATATAAATAACAAATCAATACAGATTATTATAATCTGTTAGATATTTCATAAATTATAAATACCAACTCCATTAATTAAAAAATAAAGAATTTACCCCAACACAGGTTTTTTATTTGTTTGAGGCCCATAGTTTAGGCCTAGAAGTGGAAAGGTAAATGGAACATGATTGTGTGATTGTGGACCCACAAAAAGCCCAAAAAAAAGTTTTTGGCGCCTTTGGCTCGAATATTTAGTGCATTTATATTTCTTTGGTTCCCTCCGTTTACAAACTTTCAACATTCATTCATTCCCGCGCACACTGTTTCTCTTCCTCTCTCTGCGATTTCTTTCAGTTATTCCTCGCTCCATCCTAGCTTCTCGAAGGTTCTAAACTCAACTCTTCCTAACCTATTTAATTTTACTTCACTATACCGAATTCACCATTTTTCTTCGATAACACTTGCTTTCAATGTTCGTGTGATGCATTTCTGTGTTCATCGGCTTTGCTTTTTTTCTCCATTGTAACACTCTTTTTATGTAACACAATCCTTTAATTTGGTTTTGTTGCATGTTGTGTTGAAATATTTATTTTCTTTGTAATCTGAATCGTAGTAATCGAATTAGGGTTTTTGGTGCTCATGGAGGTATGACGATAGTGTTAAGGTTGCTTATGAGATCATTTTTGAGATCCGAGTTACAGTTAGGGCTGCGTGCTAACAATTGGTTTTTCCTTGTATTGAAATTTATTCTTCCTTTCTCACAAGTTTGGCATGTTCGATGATTAAGGACGGAAAGTGAAAAAAACGTGTTTGATAATTCTACTGAAGTACAGAATAAATTGTGGCTTATGGTAAATTTTGATTGCAATTGAGGGTTTATAGTTTGTGCGAATTTTGAATGTTTTGTTGAATTGAAGCCGATACAGTGTTTGCATAATTTTGTGGTATTTAATTTTGTTTACTCTTTAGTCATTGAATCTCTTTATCTATATTGCTGTTTCGGTGTCTTCTCTTTATTTTTGACAATTCATTGCGTGGTGCTTTTTCAAGAAGGTTATCAACAAGGTTGTTTGATTATCATCTTTTCAGGAAGGTTGAACTATCATGACAACAGGTAGATCACTAAACGGGAAAGATGCAAAGTCTTCTGAAAAGTGCAATCCAAAGAAAGGTTCCATTGGAGTGAGAAGTTCTCCCAAGAGAACAAATAAGTTAGATCACAGAGCAAGAGGTGATATATTTTAGTCAATTTATTTCATTAATATAATAATCTTTTGGTTTCATATTGTCCTCCACCTTGATGCACTGAATTTTGTGTTTTAGAAGGAATGGATATTTTATTTTTATTTTTTGGATGAGGTGACATAGTTTTGAAATTTACACAAATGTTCAGTTGCCTTTTTATTGTACATTTTGCTTAATATAGTTATTATTATTATTTTTTTCTATTTAGGATGTGGTCAACAGTTGTTGATTGATAAAGAGAATCATCATTTTCCATTTAAGGAACAAATGAGAATGTGCCCAGAGCTTCCCAACAAAGTTGTGTTTCTTACAGAAAAGAGAGAGGCAATTGAACTTCATCCTGGACAAATGCTCACTTCTGCAAAAATCAAGTTACAACTTTTCCCAATTGATGAAGGAACTCGGATAGCACTTGAAAAGGTCACATGGTTTTTAGAAAATTTGGATATACTTTAGTCTGTCCTAGTCTTCATGTAGTAGGTCTTGATGCTTAGACTATTTTTCATTTCAGGATGGGCATAATCCTCATTTAGAACTTACACTTAGAGGTCGAAAGAAAATATCCTCAATATTGGAACACCTTGGAAAGAAGTGGGGAAGTTCAAATATAGCCAAAGGGGAGCTTATACTCTTCCCATATAATATTATGGGAAATCTATCTGACTGCAGAAGGTGGACAATTAGTGATAGTGACACAACAGCCTCCGCTGTTTATGCTGCTGTTGGAAGCCCTGCAATTTTCCGCCTGAAGTATTATATCGGATCTTCTATCATATGTACCTTTTCTATATGGAAATTAGGTAATTATACAGTGTAGTAAGTTGTAACTTGTTCTCTCTATTTTTAAGGTATGGCTGGTTCTACATACATGAACCTAGGTCTTTTGGTATACCTTCTGCACCAATTCCCCATGAGCCTGCTGTATCTGGAGGTAGCAATGCTAATTTAGAGGAGACTTTATGTTGTGAACGGGAAAAGGTTGAGGTAAGCAAAGAATGCAAAGCAACTGATGTGGGCAATGCAGCAAGTGAAACAGTGGCTCAGAAAATAGACAACGCAGCTGTTGATCCTATGGTAAACTGATAATTAAATATTTTGCTGTGCATTATAATAACTTGCAAATAGATGCATAAATTGCACCTAAATTTTATTCTAGAAGACGTGGATCTTGCTGGCTGATCTGATTTAAAAATATTAGTTTTATGTGTGAATCGAAGAACATCAAAATGATTTTTATGATGATTTTCATTATAGCTTATATAATTATGGGAAAAGTTTTGGAAAGTGGTACAAAATTTATAAGTTAATAGATGCCATTAATTTATCTTATATATGATAGCATCATGAGCATAAATACACTTGGGCATTTTTCTTGCAAATAAAATTCTTATGTGGACCTTTATTTGATATTTGAGAAATCTATTGTTGGTTGGTCCTGAATTCTAAAATGAAATTTGAATGTCAATCCTGTGACAGTTTTGATATGTTCCTTATGTTCTGATAAAAGATTAATTTCCAATAATTCCATCGTTATTTCTTGTTTTCTGAGATATGCATGTCTGTTCTGACTAGGATAATGAGCAAAGAGTAAGTAATGGCCTTCAACAGTCATCATCTCTATGGGTTGATAGTTTTCTCAATATAAGCATAGGGGGCCTCCTGTCTGAAGCATCACTACTAGGGGGCCTCGATTCAAAAATATTTTCTGGCATACAGCCGTGTGAAATTACTTCAGATTCATTGGATGCTTATATAGCTGCTCATATTAATAATCGTTCTGTTCCAAGAATACCTGGTGAAGACTTGCGCACATCTATATTGGATGCTGAAGAAACATGTCATGCATTTCCTCTTCGAAAGTTATCTTTCCCAACAGATGTGCAGACAGCTTGTGGAAAGAATAATTCTGAGATATGCAGACAGGATGTTTCTTCAAACTCATTAAAGTTGTCGAATATGGACAAGGTTAGTTGCTCAGTCTTCAATGAGAATCCATTATTGAAATGTGATTTAGTTTCATGAAGCTTGTGTGTCTGATGCAAAAACTACCTAGTTCTTTTTGTAAGAAAACTAACAAGTTATTTATTGTTTTTTTATAAATATTTTGTGAGGGCTGAGTAGTTAGTTAACAATTTTTTTAATCTTTTGTCCAATTTGAATAAGAAAAGTGCTCTTAACACACTATTCCAATATTTTATTGTTGAAATTTATTGAAAATCACAAAATGAGGTGATAGAATCATTAAATAAGAAGTGGAACTCATAAACTTTAAATAAAACTCAACCAATTAAGAGAGAATGTTTTTGAAAGTGCCATGTATTGTTGGCATTTCTTTTTGAATATTTGACTTTGAAATAATGGGATTTATAAATTACCTCCCCCCCTTTTGATGAGTGAGTTTTTTGAAAAAAGATAGATGCTTTTAACTGGATTATATTTCTCCAGCTTTATAAATTCCTGGTACCAACAGGGCTCCTATGAACAAAATTAAAATGTCCTGCTAATAAAATAACTAATGTAGCATTGGGACCGAAATTGGGCTTTAAAATTGATGTGGGATTGAGATTATGTTTCTATTAGTTGAATGGAAGCTTCATTATCCATCATTACTTGCCCTTCATTGTCTCTTGTGGTGTTGTAAAGGTCAATGATCAAGATGGACCTTCACAAAATCCTCCATCTGGGAAGACTCAGACAGACATGTCACTTTCTTCACGCCCATATGATGATGAAAGAAGTCTTGGGTTAACAGGCATCAATTGGGTATTTAATTTTCTTATCAAAGCATTTCAATGTTTGTTATATTTAATATCTTGATTTCTGAGTTAAGTAAGGTACTATCTGAATACAGAATGATTCTATGGGACCTTTTGATCTTGGCATGCCAGCTAAGCTTATTGGCGGAGACAATGTAACCAATAGCATTGACGGATTTGTGAAATAGCAGCTTAGATGCATAATTCGTTGACCAAATGACTCCGTTTTGAAGATACGTTCTGAAGGAAAAGAAGAAAAAGGATATTGTACATAATAGAAACACTTGCCTAAGAGACAAGAGTTGAAAAAGGAAAGAAAGACACGAGCTTGGCAGAATACCGAGTTGTCTGGTTTAAATGTCCTCACAGAATACCAAATTGTCTGTTTAAAAACCATATTCATTGAGGGGATTAATGAATAAATTATTTAGTCATTGAAGTATCACCCTTACTTTTAAATAGTTTTTAAATTACTGAAGATGGCGAATATTGATTTTTTAAAAATTAGTTTCTCAATATTAAGAAAGTATATTAACCCAGGGATTAAATTGGTGAATATTCAGTACATTAGAGATTATTTATATAATTTCATTTGTTTTGATGGTTTATTGGAGAATTAATATTTAGTTATTTTGCATTGTCTTTTCTATGGTCCCATAATTTTGAAAGATATGCTAAAATGTTCTGATTTGATTCTGCTATATGTCAACCGTAAGTGCTGAAATGTAATTAAAGTGATCATGCTATAACTTTGAACCTTTCATCTTTCTCTGAAATAAACTATCTTATTTGGTGCGATTGGAAGAAAAACGAGTGGGAAGAAAATGTTTGTTATTCGAAAGTGGAATTGGTTTCTTGCATTTGTAAATTTAAACTCGACAATTTAATGCCTGATCTTTTGGATTAGCTTTCATCAAGTTTTAGGTTATTAGTACATGCGAAAGATATCTAGTATTAAAACATCCGCCTACATGATACAATTAATAAGCGTATTTCTGTCACTATATAAAAAAAAATATACGTACATTAATATTACAAATTTATTCTAAAATTATGTGTAAAGTGCATTAGAAATATTCTTTAACGACGTTCAGGATCAACTATTTTTAGTTTGGCCAATGTGGACAATTTTCAATGTTGTAGTACTAGCTGTGGGATATAAAAGTATTTATTAAAAAAACTGTCATTTGATAAGAACTTATATGTAAATTTAATTGTAAAAGTTACTGAAAAAAAATTGTATAAATTTTTTCATGAAAGTTATAGAATTAAACTAAAAAATAGGTTCATAAATTATTTTCATAAATTTAATTAAATTCTTTTAAAGTTTGTCATTGATATCTATAATCTAATAGTCTAACACGATTAATAAAATAGAAAAATTATAAATTTTAATATGTTTGAATTATAAAGCTCTTTTTCCTCTCGTATTTAAAAAAATAAATAAATTATACGTTACGTACTCTCTTAATAGATAAATGTTATATCTTAATTTTAATATGTAAATTTTTTTTAGTAATGATTATTATTTATAAGCAATTTACGAATGTGGTTAAAAAAACTAACACTTCAAGTTTGCACATTATCATAGACCCATTACATATTGATATATTACATTGAGCTAAAAAATTGTTTAATATGGATTTATGAATGTAATTCATCATATAGGAAAACTAATTTTCAAGAGATTGATAATTTAATTTTTAATCACATCACATTTTAATTTGAATATAAAAAAGAGACATGGAACAAGATATTGATTTTAGGTCACATCATATTTTAATTTGTATACAAGAAAAGAGACAAGGAACGAGATATTGATTTTAACTCACATCGTATTTTAATTTGTATAAGAAAAGAGTCATGGAATGATATATTGATTTTAATTCATTTATGAAAATAATATATAAAGCAATACCAAAAAAAAAAAAAAAACTTACTGCATGTTTATTTAGACTTGTTTTTTTTTTAAATAAATATTTTGGACTCTCTAGGCTCTAGGTTATTTCCCTAGGCACGGTTAGCCTTATCATTCTCACGTTAGCAAATAATGATAATTCTTTGATATTTGCATCGCAATATTTGATTATAAGTATTTTATGCTATAACTCTGTCGTTGTGCTTGGGAGATAATACCTACATTATATAAGAATACGATCAACAATCAAAAAATTAAATAATTCCTATACAACTAAAATGTACTGTTGATTTCATTTAGAGAATAAATGCAATGCTTCGCATAAGATATAAAATAGATTGTTAATTTTATATAGGAAGTAAAATATTAAATTAAGAATCAAGTAACTAATTTAAACAATTTTATATATACCAGCAGAAAGATAAAAGCTCAATGTTTATATAAAATAGATTGATACTCACATACCTTTTTATCCCTTTTTTTTGTGGAACTGAACTATTTGTATATATAGTTAATGGAGTTTTTTTAATTAATATAACTGATGTAAAAGCTCAAGAATTAAAATAAATTAGTGAAATAATTTAGAATAGCAAATATTTTTATCTTTTTAACGTAGAGACAATACCTGAAAGAAAATATCGAGAGTCTCAACGGAAAAATGACAATTACACATATAGCATTTGAAGTATAAAATATGTAAATCAAAAAACCATATCACTTTTAATCTTTTATTATATATTATCACATCATTTGTTATATCAATTATTTTAACTTCTTATTTATGGCTTCATTCTCCTAAAATATATATACTCTAATGGAGCTGATTTTATTTTATTTTATTCTCACGGCAAATCATAAAAAGACAGAAAAATAATTTAATAAAGAGAGTAGCGTTGGTGTTGTGCGCACAAGCCGGTAATTCTAATATCATAATCTTCCAAACATTGGTTTTCTGACGACAAAGGCAGAGTAGTGTTTGGCTTATTCTCAATCCTATGCCGGCTAAGAGCTGTTTCCACCCAAACATTCTTTTTTAGTTACCATTTTTGTTGTTTGGATCTTCCTAAAACACTCATAAATATATTTTATTCAGTACTTTATTTATATTTTAAAATGAGTATTGGATGATTTTCGTGAGTAAATAGTACAAATATCAAATTAAAAGATTTTTTTCATTATCATCTAAAAATTTATCACGTATTAAATTTATTAACTTAAAAATAATACCTTAAAATGTTGTATCTAATATAATGTTTTTGTTGGTTGACGATATATGTTTATTGTACTCATTTTTTATCTGTAAGAATTTTTTTATTTTTGAATAAAATACAAAAGCTTTTTATTTTTTTAATACTTTAAAGATTCCTTTGAATTAATGACGATGAATAGAAACTGTCACAAGAATCAATTGATATTATTTACTATTATTTAGATTGTTTAAAATATAATATGGTGTCATGGAATGAAACATGATGAAATTCATTTTATTCTGTTCTCTTATTTTTCTTTCCTTTGGATTTAAGTGAAGTGATATAAAATTTCTCATTTAACGATTTAATTATACCAATACTTTTGTATTCTTTTTAATAATAAAATTACATTTCTTATTCTTTATATTTAAAAGAAGGGTCATATAAGAAAATAAAGTTATACGATTAAGTCTACTTTAGAAATAATAAACAGAAAATATTATCGATTCCATTATAAATACTTAAATTATGATATTAACATTATTTTATTTCATCCTATTTCATTTTTCACATAAAGTATTCTCTAATTGTTAATTAATGTATGTTTTATTTAAAAAAAAGTCTTAAGTTTAATAGCTTTTAGAGAATTTTTCAATAAATAAATATTTATTTCTCTAAATTTTAACATTACTAAATATATAAATATACTAATTTCTTCATTATATAAGAATGAATAATGAATTTTTTTTTCGCTTAAGGTATCTTCTGGAAAGAAAGAGAAAAAGACTAATCTCTCAGATGTATGAAGATTTTTATTTAAGAGATTAATCTCTCTCAAATGAATATACTCATACATACTGATAGTTCATTTAGAAATCATATTATTGAGGAAATGAAATAGAGTTTTATGAAAATGTATGTAGAGAGTGTAAAAAATCAATAAACATATCTAATATCATAATTACAACACTCAATAAATTTTCAATGATTAATATAATTAAAGTTCTTATATTATTTATTCAATGAAGTAACTTTTGTCTCTTTTATTAAAAAGTTTTCCTTATATTTAATCCTAACAAGCATTATACATTTGGTAATAGTGTGGAATTTAATTCATTTAATTTTTGCTTTATTAAAAATATCGATTCATTAAAATCCCTGACAATACAAATATTTACTCAATACTTATTTTTTTAATCTATTTCTCCCATTATTTCATAATTTTATCAATAACTTATCCCTCCTTTCTTCTAGTAATTTACACCCAAATGTCAATGATTTTTTTCCCTAAAATTAAATATCCAAACATCACCTCATATGAGCTATTAAGAATTGTTTCTATTACACTACAATATAGAAATCGAAATAAATAATTAATTAACACCTTTTTTATTTGAGAGCTTAACTTATTGGAGTACATTTTTAAGAATAAAATCAATAGACATTAAAAGTTAATTAAAAATCTAAAATTTGATAATGCCTTAGATATAGTGATCCTAATAATATCAACTTACTAACTTAATCAAAGTCTCGAATTTGAGTTATGAGAAAAAGTTTCACCGATTATAATAAAATTTTGTGGAACTATTCTAGTAAAAGATACTTTTGATGTAAAGTCTATTATTATAGTTAGTTATATATATTATAGTTGTAGTGTTATCTGGTTGTCACCTAAACAGAGATATTTGCAGCTTCGAGTCGCCATATGGGATGCATTAACACCAAATTGACTCCTCCTCGGAACCAAAACCACAACACAGAGAGATTGAAACCAAACAAAGACCATGCAAACACTGCTTCTCCACCCACTCACGTGGAAGTGAGATTAGAAGAGGATATTAATAAGAAAGTGTCGAGTGAGAAAGAAAATAGAGATAGTACTAGTAAGGTAGTAAAGGGTGTTCCTAGAAATGATGACAAAAGTGAAGTTGGAAATGTTTCAGAGAGATCTGAGGAGAAGAAGAATATTGCACGCAATGAATTTGTGGAGGGGTGGCCAAAATGGCTCGTTGATAATATTCCACCAAATGTTTTGGCTACTTTGGTCCCCAAGAGTGCTGATTCATATGAAAAACTCGGAAAGGTAAATAATACTCCGATATGTCAATAAATTCTTAACTAGACACTCCTTAATTATAGTTTGAAGCTAAATAAGTTAATCATGATTAGTGAACATTCCATTTATTAAACATGTGTAAAGTTGCATGTAGGACATTACTGCTTTAAAATGAACAATACATAATACTAATAGAAGCAGTACGTACGCTTGTTTCTTTGCTATAGCTCATACTTGTCCAAAAATTTCTCTGATACTAATGCACAAGATTTCTTTAGTTGCGTATGTATAGTTTCATGTTGTTCTTTCTCTTCTTCACATGTATGTTGAGAGAAATTATTACATGATCTGAGATTACCATGTGTCTATAATTTTGATTAATCTTTACCTGACATATAATTATTAAAACTTGGTTACATGTCACGTGGAGATTGATCAGTACCATAATGTTGAAGAAGGGGTTTTAGTTCCATTTAGTTATAGTAACTTCTTTATTTGGGGTTGTAGGTGGGACGAGGTACATACAGTAATGTATACAAAGCCCGAGATAAGGATACTGGAAAGATTGTTGCTTTGAAGAAGGTAAAGTTTGACACATCGGATCCTGAAAGCATAAAGTTTATGGCAAGAGAGATCGTGATACTGCAGACACTGGATCATCCCAATGTCATCAAACTGGAAGGACTAGCGACATCAAGGATGCAGTATAGTCTTTATCTTGTTTTTGATCACATGAAATCTGATCTTACAAGAATCATCTCTCGCCCTGGGGAGAAACTCACTGAACCACAGGTTGGATTTCGGTCCTGAGATTAATTTTGATATACTATTGGTGTGAAAGTTTTACACATTAGAAATCACCCTATATCAGACATTTAAACTAAATGTTACAAAAGTTTAACAATCTAAACATATATCACGAGTATCTATGATCGGATGAGAATATAAAAAACTTTTGTACTGAAAGTATTTTCTAATTCAATTCTTTTTTCCAAGGATTCATCCTGAAATGTTTGTAAACTGTGATTTGTTTGCGGCTATGAAAGGCTACATATAATGTCAGATACAAGGAATGCTTGTGACACTCTTTGTTATTGACTGAATTTTATTAGAAATTATAAATTTTGTGGATCCCACCTATTATTTAAGATTTCTCTCTTGATTTAGTAGTAAAATCTACTAAAATTTGTGATATTCAACTAATAATAGAAAAAATATTACCAAAAAAGTAATAGAGAAAGTGTTACTAGCATTTCTGTGCCATATAAATAGAAATGATTTGTTCCTTTTAGTTGCTATTGATTTTGTCAATTAATAACTGTAGGATTTGTACTAGCTAAAACTTACAAATCTATGGTCACTTTCTATGCTGTTCATATTGATATTTGGTTCAGCA